TTCCTTGTCCAGGATGTGGGGGCAAGGGCGCACCTGATGGCTGGAACCCTAAGGGGCCACGCCGGGTGTTCATGGAGCACGACGTGGCGTACGTGATGGGGTTTCGGTAAGTTCAGCATGCGAAGAAGAGTGTTCGCTCGATAAACTTCATCAGTCATGTTTTCGTGGCATCCGACGAATTCTGGTTTCTGGTAGATTGGAGTTCGTGTTGTGGTTTTCCGACGATATTGCTCGTGGTGTATGTTTTCTCCCATGCACGTGCAGGTACAAGTGTGCGAAGTGCGCGGAGTTCAATAAAGGCAAGCAGGAGGCGGAAAAGCGCAAGACGAGCTTCAACGCGTGGGATGCTGGGTGCTTCCGGCGTCTCCCGGAGTACATCTCCGNCAGTCATGTTTTCGTGGCATCCGACGAATTCTGGTTTCTGGTAGATTGGAGTTCGTGTTGTGGTTTTCCGACGATATTGCTCGTGGTGTATGTTTTCTCCCATGCACGTGCAGGTACAAGTGTGCGAAGTGCGCGGAGTTCAATAAAGGCAAGCAGGAGGCGGAAAAGCGCAAGACGAGCTTCAACGCGTGGGGTGCTGGGTGCCTCCGGCGTCTCCCGGAGTACATCTCAAGGAGTTCCCTTTCCTTCTCACCAAGCGGTCGGGCATTGAGATTTGCATGGTGGACCGGCTTGCAGATGATTTGGTGCATGGGAAGGGCTCCTCCGCTGCTGTCAAGAACATTCGTCAGGTGACTATGCAGTGTCTCATCTGCAGCGTCTTAAGATAACGGGTTGGTCTGGTCTTGGCTCCGGTGCCTTGAGCGAGCTGGCGGAGGAGTTGAAGCTTTTTTTCATGCGGTTCGTTCGCAATGGCTTCAAGGTTCCTATTCTGTGGAACACAGGTAATTTGCGAAATGATTGTAGACTTGCTTCGCTTTACGAGGTTTGAAGACCGGTGTCAGGCCTGCTATTTTCGCAGTGACTTTGCAATATTGTCTCCTCAATCCGTTCCGGTCCCGTTGCGTGACGCTTCACTTTGTCAGATGACTGCTGTGATGACCGTCAACTACTGCAACGCATATTACGCGAGTTTGAGGAGGTAACGGGGATCAGTCTTCATCTGGAAGACGAGGTGGACGCCGGAGTTCAGTTGGAGCTCCTGCCACAGCTGGATATGGAGTTCACCCCTGCCATCGTGTACGACCCGGACGCGGTAGCCGCTGCCTGCGGCTCCCTCCGTCAGAGCATCAGCCAAAATCGAGTGGAGGGAAAGATGATGTGCGGAGCGGACGCAGAGTGGCAGTTTTCACCTCGTGGGCGGGAACCTGTAGCGACCTTCCAGATTGCGGCTTTGAGGGGGCCGTCGTTCCTCTTCCACCTGCAGAGAGGGAGCTCTGGTTTTACGAAGGAAACATTTCCCGCTCCCCTGAAGGCTCTTCTCGAGGACCCCAGCATCATCAAGGTGAGACAACAGCAACAGCACATGCGCGTGAGGGTTGAATGTGATTGATGTTGTATTCCNGACGCAGAGTGGCAGTTTTCACCTCGTGGGCGGGAACCTGTAGCGACCTTGCAGATTGCGGCTTTAAGGGGGCCGTCGTTCCTGTTCCACCTGCAGAGAGGGAACTCTGGTTTCACCAAGGAAACATTTCCCGCTCCCCTGAAGGCTCTTCTCGAGGACCCCAGCATCATCAAGGTGAGACAACAGCAACAGCACATGCGCGTGAGGTTTGAATGCGATAGATGTTGTATTCCTGCAAGTACTGCTCTTGAAAGGTTGGTACGGCGTATTTTTGCGTCCGTCTTGTGAGCGTCTTCCTCATGATACTATTTGAACGCCGACTCGGTGACTCGATGTTTCCTCTGTGCAGGCTGGTGTTGCCATCAACACGGATGCCACGCATATACTCAACGACTATGGCATGAAAATGGCGAGCACGGTGGGCCTGCGTGTCCTCGCCGTTTCCAAGTTGGTGGTGACATCGTCTCGAACACTCGCCGGCTTGACGGCGTGCCTCCTGGGGAGGCAGCTGCCGAAGGATACCGTCCGATGCTCCCGTTGGGGGAACGCTCAACTCTCCGTTGAACAGCGAGACTGCGCCATCAGGGACGCCGTTGCCTCGGCATTCTTGTACGAGGTCATCCACAACAACAAGGACCCGATCACGCCCGTGTCTTCTTCACCGTTCGACCTGGCTATCGGCTTGAAGGTGAGCGCCTACGCATTGTGGTATCGGCCGTACTTCGATGTGGACCGACAACAACAGATCATGGCAGGTTCCAAATTTGTGCTGAAACCCAAGCAACAACGCTTGCCCTCGTTCTTTTGCCCTCTGCGCGTACTACAGGTGCGCCTCTTCATTGCCAGCCATTCCGCCTGCGTGGCGGTAGGTCACGTGGTGTCCGACGCCACCGTGGAGGGCGCCCTTCGTCACTGGCAAAGTTCTGCCAAGCTACAAGGTCTTTCCGGGAGCAGGCAGCGGCACGGCGTGGTTGTAGGGGGCTCCGGGGCAGGAGGTGACCCGGTAGAGGGGTCGCCGATCTTGGCTGGGCCTGGGGCGGGGGCGACGCGGGCGGCGTTGCCGCAGTTCAGGGCCTGCACCGAATGCGGACACCACAAGGGTGCATACCCTGCTGAACACCCTGGGAATGCCGTGGACATAAGGCGAATGGTTCAGCGCCCCAGCCCGACCNACTGGCAAAGTTCTGCCAAGCTACAAGGTCTTTCCGGGAGCAGGCAGCGGCACGGCGTGGTTGTAGGGGGCTCCGGGGCAGGAGGTGACCCGGTAGAGGGGTCGCCGATCTTGGCTGGGCCTGGGGCGGGGGCGACGCGGGCGGCGTTGCCGCAGTTCAGGGCCTGCACCGAATGCGGACACCACAAGGGTGCATACCCTGCTGAACACCCTGGGAATGCCGTGGACATAAGGCGAATGGTTCAGCGCCCCAGCCCGACCTTGAACCGGCGAAAAAANAATAACAAACGGCCCACCATTGAGACATCAGATACACCACGGCTGCCCAGGCGATGTGTGCGTGTGTGTGTGTGTGTATTTGTTATTAGCATCGACCGCGCTAACCGCCTGACCAATTACNATAGTTAGCCTGTACTGCCGGGTCGAGAAGAGCTGGACACATGTAAAAAAAAGTAAATATTTGCCTACCGGTTCGAAGGCCGTTCGGTCAGTTAAGAGTGCACTAGTTGTACGGCAGTCGCCCAGAATTTCGGATGGTAAAGGAAAATAACAAACGGCCCACGATTGAGACATCAGATACACCACGGCTGCCCAGGCGATGTGTGCGTGTGTGTGTGTGTGTATTTGTTATTAGCATCGACCGCGCTAACCGCCTGACCAATTACAAGACGTCAGTGCCAGCGGGAAAAAATGTGTGTGTTTTTATGTTTGTAAAAATGTGTGTGTGTGTGTGTGTGTGTGTGTGTGTTTTTTTTTTCCGGCACCATCTGCCGTCTTTCAACAATAATATTAAATTGGACGGTATGCTAGACGTGCCTGGGAATGCAGTGCAAGAAACCGTTTCGAAATCGGCTCACATTTCTAGGACGNATACAAGATCCGATCTGCAGAGAACATGTGTGCGGGGTGTATACTGTTGGGGTCCAAGTGTGGGCCCCGTCGTGAGAGCCCGCGCTTGGGTTCACTGAAACAGGACCTGTACTGACTTCGGTCCGTGCTGGAAGAGCACGTGTGTGTTAATCTAGGATATAGACTATATCATCTGCATCGGTCCTCTGGGTTACGTGTTTGTGTACCCCCGTGGCCACCCACGGAGGTTGCCGTGTCCACCCACGGCATGATGTCTGTCTGGGGACTATGTTAAACCCAGAGGACCGATGTAGATGATATATATCCTTAATCAACACACACGTGCTCTTCCAGCACGGACCGAAGTCAGTACAGGCCCTGTTTCAGTGAACCCAAGCGCGGGCTCTCACGACGGGGCCCACACTTGGACCCCAACAGTATACACCCCGCACACATGTTCTCTGCAGATCGGATCTTGTATCCAAGTACCCCAAACATAAGGGCATACTCCTCCACAAACGCGGCACTTCTATCGGTGTCTTGGGATTTATCGGTTCCTATATTTTGTGACCGTCCACGTTATTCTGCGTTCTGGCCGATTAACCTTTTTACGTGTCGTGTGCACCTTCACAACCACCCCACGAAGTCATGGGCGCAATGCACAACAAAAAGCTCATCGGTCTGCTGTGAATGAAATCGGTGGAGTTCAGCTACGGTTTTTTTCTGTAGAATTTTAGAATTCTCCTCGTCACCCCACGATGTCCATGGGTTCTGACAGGGGGGGAGTCGTAGGTCGGAGGAGGACCAATTGGTCGTATTAATAGAACACAGACCTGTGGCGTGTGGAATGCTCTCAGGTTGCTGGATGCCGTAACTTCATTCTCGATACCTCTGATAGGTTTCAACCTAACGTCCTTGGGTGAAGTAAGTTGGATGTTCCGGCAATTCCGGGGATATAGTACTTCTAGGATCAACAGGTAGATCTTGACGGGCGGATGCTATTGTGGAAGAGGTCATGTCGTTTGGGCTTCCAATAAAGGGGGGGCTGCGATTATGTCTCGTTGTCCTAGATTATATTTTGGCCGTCTGTTGTTGTTCAATGTATCAGCCCTTTGTGGTACAGTGTTCCATGTTGGTGCATCACGTCAATTCTATTTCTGTACTATCAGGTGGTTTTTGCGAAGGTGTACCGATTCAGGTAAATGTCAATTGACGGATACCCTGCGAATCGGATCCTCCTTAACATTTTCTAACGAAAATGTTTTTGGGTTGGTGGAATTTGGCTGTTTTGCGCGTGCAACTGTTACTCGCGAGGTCGAAAGTTCAGATATTTACCATCCCATGTTATAAATGTCTTGTGACACACATACATGTGTGTTGATCCGGATGGGATAGGGTATTCACCGTTGTGTTGGAATCTTGAACACTACGCGACGCAAACCAAACAGCAGTTCAAATAAACAACAAAACACAATGACAAGCGATCTCCAAGAGACGTGCAAAGCCAGCAGGAAGACGGCCGAAAAGGACAGCCATAACAAAAACAGGCAAGCATCGGCAATTCAAGATTGACACATGGGCGGCACCCGAGCACCGAGTTGTGAAGTCGTCGCCGCTCGTCAACAACACGGACCACATGAACACCACCAGCATGGAGGACTGCTTCTTCACCAGCCAACTCCTCAGCACCATCAGCATGGAGGACTACTCCTTCACCAGCGAGGACACCCACACCTTCGCCAGCCACGAGGACCCGCTCCGCACCAACCCGGGGGTTTTACCAGCCGGGGGAGTTTTCTTCAACCGGTTATTCAGTCAGCCGGGTTGCACCAAAGTGGAGTTCTCCCTCAACGTTCCCAGGGTCACGGTTCCGCCCTCGACATCGTGCGCGGGGGGGAGTTATTGGTCACCACCACGAACAGCAGCCTGGTCATCTTCACGTTGTGGAAAGCACCAAGAAACGCATCGTCCACGGCACGGGAGATGGTGGAGGAAATTATCCAAGTTTCCGGAGCCCTCGGAAGGGAGAGGTGGTCAAACCAACGACTCTTGGTGCTGTCGATGACACGACAAAACGAGAGGCGCACTTCACGGTGCGCACTCCACTGCTGTGGGGGGGACACTCGGAGACCTCAACCGTGGGAGACTAAGACCGGAGGAACGGTCCTGGGAAGGACAGGAGATCCAACGAGCATTCAAACCTTGTCATCTGGACCACAAGCACCGACGAAGCATTCAGCGACAGGAAGGACACATCTTCGTTGCGGGAGTGACGACGGGAAGCGGGAGCAACGACAACAAGAAGCAGCTGAGGGAGGAAATTTCAGGAGGATGCGCTGAGGCCGAACGCTTCGGAAGACGCCATCAAGCGTTATGTTATGGGCCCCAAGGCCTGTTTGTAATCTGCATTCACGAGCACGTGCTGTGGGGAAGTATTGAGAAAGGGACATTGTTTCCACGGAAGGCGGAGGTCCTGGCTCAGGAGAGTCTGTCACATCGTAAGAAGAGTACCACTCTTGCTATGGAGGGAACTTCTGCGAGGAAGTCTTCGTCTTTGGCCGCATGGATGGAGCCTACGAGAGAGAAGCCTTCATCTTGGCACGGCCAGGACGCGGAGTAGCAGGAGGAATATCCTTCACCGCCGACTTGGTACGTAGCGGAGAAAGCTCTGCACTCGGGGTCTACGGCATGGGAAGACGAGGGGACTCTACAAGGCCGATCTTCGTCAACCCAGAGGCCCAGGTGCTCGGCAGTGTTAGTGTTGAGATAGATGAACGCACGTGTCATGGGCCCACTGCCGTATGCTGAAACAGGGTCTTCATGACACCGCGCTTCGATCTTGAGGGCGGTGCCAAGCTGAGTATCGCCAAGGGTGTTTAGAGTTAGAGCTCAAGGCTCCGGCTGAAGATCAAGGTGGTCAACAAATCAACTACTCCTGAAGTCATCACGGAGACAACACAGGTCACCAGGGCGGTTGAGATGGCTTGTGACGAAGGGGAGCCGGATCCAGAACATCGGCAGGAAAGTGAAGATCCAGAATTGATGTAAGCTCAGCAAAGACGGAACAGATTGCGGAGATACGAGAACGAAAGACACTGAAGGTAGCCGGGATTAAAGGGAGCGGAGAGTGGGACTACCGCTACACGACCAGAGCGTTACTCCGTAACTTCAGCACCATCGCGTCGATTGTAGACAGACATCGTGTGAAACAAGAAGCTCAGCTCTAAGAACTCCTGCGCGCGAAGACTTTCGTGTGCAACGGAACACGCCACAGCGTTAGGAGAAGTCGGCGAGAGACTCACCATCGATACCATTCTCGTGGTAACCAACGGGCACCAACCGTACACGCTCCGCACGGAGGCCAGCAACGTAGCAACAGGGTCAGTGCCCATGCAGGACATGAAGGACAAGGAGTATGCCAGCACGGGGCCATGCCAGCACGGTCACGGGATGCAGAGAAACTGACGTCCAAGGACAGGGAAGTTCTCGGAGTGTCGTACGCGGTTGAGCACTTCAAGATCTACCAGCAACACCGGCAGTTCACACTCGTTATGGACTGCGTGGTGTGGAATCTCTCACCGAACATGCATCAATGGTCTTTGAAGATGATGGCGTGCGAAATGGTCCTCAGTTGGCGGAAGAGAACGCACCACATCGATCCACAAGCTCTCTCACGGCGTCGACGGAAAGGGTAGGAGGACCGGACGTCGACATCATACAGGCATGAAATGGAGTCACGGAGGAACCAAGGAAAGGACTTGAGGGGCTGGTGTCAGACAACGTTCCTCTCCAGAACATGACACACTCGAAGGCAGCGGATGACGACGTGAGGAGTGGTGTTTCATCAGATGTGGCACTGTTCAGAAGGGACCCTGAAGAGACCCAGCTGGACGCTGTCTGGTTAGCTGACTTGGGACGTACGAATTGGACGACCAGGGGGAGGAGAATCTCGCGGCGTTCAACGAGTTCCAGCTGACGCCGGAGATTATGGAGCCCACAGATGAGGAGTTTGTACGGGCGTGATCACAGTCAAGCGCGAGCGTTTGTGGTCACAGTCAAGAGAAGAGGAGACAATATCCTGAAGACCAAACTCTCTACGTGGACGGAGAATATAGAGAAACCGGTAAGTACCTTCGTGGGGCGATAAGGGTGTATCGTCTTGAAACCAGGACGCAACGCCAGGGAGATCTTTTCAATTTTCAAGCCGATGGTGACGATCGCTGTGGGTCGCACACCTGGGCTCCTCAGAGCTATCGAAGAAAAAGCAGGACCGCTTGAAGAAGTTCACAATATGTCGCGAGAGGACTACGTCAAGTGTGTTAGGATAATCCGATCTGGAGGTAGCTTGTCGCAAGACGTGTGTTGAATAGGGTATCGGTAACTCGGCGAGCTTGCGCGAGGAGAAAAACTTGTTGTGATTAGTAGCATCCACATACACACAAGCCCCGTTGAGGGGGCGACGCTGTATACAACAGGGGTACCTTGTACATCTCTGGAATCCATTCTACGCACCACACATGTCACCCGGTATTCCGCTCTACCTCATTCCATGGGAACATCCAGCACCAACCACTTGGCATTGCTACAAGGATATCTATCAGCCCCCCTGCTTGTGACTATGCCATGTCTTTATGATCTTTCAGTGACTCCAAAACACAAGAAAATAATCCAAAACACAACTCAAATCTGCAACAATAGCCTTCTGGGCTAGAAATATGTTTCCATCCCCGATCATTCCAGTTGTAGTTCTTCGATAGTTATAGCGATCCAATTGCCCCCTATCCTAGAGCACCATTGATTGAGAAGACCATAGGCAAAAATGTAAAACAATGCCACCCTTGTTCTTTGATCAAACACAAGTAAATCCAAATCTACCGTTCCTGTCCCACACTCATCGCGAAATTACGATGAAACTCAAAATCTCCGACGTGAAGTGCCTTCGTGAGGAAGTCAGCATGTTGATACGCTGATTCCACGTGAAAAATCGAAATCTCCTTCCTGCCTACCAGTTCCCTGACAAAGTGGTGCCTTACGTCGATGTGCTTCGAGTTACTGTTGCTAATCGGGTTGTGCGCCAACTGAATAGCCCCCTGGTTATCCTTGAATACTGGAATACACGGCATACCTCTTCTGGCAACATGAAACGCCATACCTGCCTCAGAAACAACACTTCCTTCATCACATCCGCAAGGGAGACATACTCCGCCTCTGTCGTGCTCAACGTAACGCACTTCTGCATCCTTGAAAACCAAGAAATACATCCCCCCCCACACGTCACCAAGCCTCCTGACACAGATCTCCTATCGGCAGCCTTGCTTGCATAGTCTGCGTCTGCGAACACCTCCATGCTCAACCCTGCTACACTACCCCTCCTGAATGTAATCCCCAAGTCACTAGTCCTTACCACATACCCCAAATACCAAGACCTGCTCTCCAATGAATTTCTTTGGGAGAAGCACAGTACCGTGCTACCGCTCTTACTGCATTCGCGATATCTGGCCTCGTTTTCGTTGCCAGCCACATCAGTGATCCTATCAGCGCGCGAAAAGGCTATGATACCACTTCCTCATCCTGCTCAAACTCTGAAAGCTTCAACCCTACAGGAAGAGGAATTTCCTTCCCGTACTCTACCCCAAACTCCACTCCCAACTCTTCAGCGTACGTCTGCTGCGAGATCTTCAAAGTCCCTGCATCCCAATCCCTCTCATAAAAACATCCAGAGTTCCACCTCAAGTCACCAAGATTCTTCACCGGTACCATGGTGTTGAGGTCCCTACCAAATTGGTCACACCCCTCCTCCTCTCCAATCGAAAAGATGTCATCCACATGTACTACCAGAGTCACTACCACTCTTCCCTCCTCGATTAACCGAAACACACACGTTTCCGCCAGACACTGAATAAAACCCAAACAAATCAATCACCTCGCCAAGTGTGAATGCCATTGCCTTGATGCCTGCTTAAGGCCATACAGACTCTTGTTCAACTTCACTATCATGCCTGACAATCTACCACATCCCTCAGGCAGACGCATGACAACATCCTCATCANACAGTCTCTCCACAATCTGCATGTACTCGCTGCATATCTCCTCTCGCTACTAGCCGTGATTTCACACTAGTCGGCCATCCATACTCATCAGACTTCCAGTTAAACACCCACTTGGCCTTGATGACACTCTCCGGTTGCTACACTAGTTCCTCAAAGGCACCAGCCTCCATCAGACCTCTGAACTCCCTCTCTACAGAGTCTACCCACAAGTCAGCATACTCAGATGACAAAGGCTCCCTTTAAGTGTTGGGTACGCGCAAGTCGTTGGCATAGCAATGCGGCAAGTCCGGTGCCACTTCCGGGGGATTTAAATCTCCCATCGTTCGATCAATGTCCTCGCGGGAGGCAAGCAAGGTGGCGCACGCAAATGGGACTTCTTCACGCAGTCCTTCTGTTTTTGTGCCCCCCCGCTCTCGCCCCCCC